GCCTTGTCAAAGGACCCTTGAGCTCCTTTAAAAAAAAAAGATCAGATGGGAGCCAAGGGGCAAACCAGGACTTTTTAACACTGGTTCTGGTTCTGGTTATTCACGCCCATTAAGAAAAAAAAATACAGTGACTAGCAAAACATGGGGGCATCCGGGAGTCGAACCCGGGACCTCGCGGACCCGAACCACGAATTATGCCACTAAACTAATGCCCCTACATTAGACTCGAGAAATACCCGAATCCTATTGGTTGAATGTTTCCACTTTTGGTATTTTTCAATCTCAGGCTCAGAGATTTTCCCTCTCATTATTGTTTTTTACTGGTCATTGTTGCGGGGATCAAAAAAATAAAAAATAAATAAAAGACGCGTGAAGACATGCGCGTTACAACTTTCTTCTCAAAAAAAAAAATAATAATAATACCAACCGCATCTACACATTCGCATTTCTCAATAAATCTGTAATTCATTTTAGTATGACTGGGGTAGTAGCTTTTGACTATTCAATAGTTTGTGTTGTTGCTGAAGCCAGCCTTGATGCCATAGCCGTTAGGAATAGACCAGTACTCGAAATTAACCTTGCCAACACAGTTGCCGTATGGGTAGACGCGTGTGATCTTGCCTCCTGAGCTGCCAGATGTTTTGGAAGTTGGGTGGAAAAAGGAGACCGCTGTCGCTGGCAGAGTGTGGCAAGACTTGTCGGCAGTCCTCCTGTTCCAAATATAATACTCTACAAATCCAACCTGTCCGTTGACAATCTTGCCAGCACCGGCCGGCAGTTCCCATTGGCCAATGACGGCGGAATCGCCTGTGACAGTGTTGACCAAGGTACCTTTCCAGGTCGTGTTTCCAACGTGCTCGACCACACAATTATATGTGTCGTTGTAGCTGCCAGCCAATTGAACCGCACAACTCACACCAGGCCCACCATCCGCCCCATAGTGGCAGTTTTTATGTCGAACGATAGTACCGCCCTGGAACGACGAAAAAGCTGCATGGACAATACTTTTTCCATTCTTGTCCTCTCGGGGTTGGATACCCGTATATGCGACTTCTGATACATTCTTGAAAAAGAATTGTTGTGCAAAGTAAAAGCCGCTCTTGTGAGTTGCGTTGGCCATGTTGATGGGGAAAGTGATGTCGTTCAAACCATTCGCAGGGACAGTAGTAAACTTCCAATTGTTGCCTATTAAAGCCCAGGTGAGCGAGGGTGCACTGGATGCGAGGAGTACAAAAGCAGCAGCAATCTTCATGTTGATGTCTATAGTAAGGGTTGAATGGGTATGACAGGATAGGGCATAAAGAGAAGGAGGAGGAGCAGAGACGAAAGTATGAAAATGGCCGTGTATTTTATATATTCGACTCTTGCTTTTTTGGCAACACCCGATGTTATATCCTGGGGAAATTGGGAAGGAAACCAAGCCTGTTGACATTCCTTTGCTCAGAATCATTCCCTCCTTTGCATCACACAGGTGTGTTCTCCTTTGCCTCCCCCCTCAAGGTTCTCTCTTGTGCCAATAACATTGACGTCTAGTGCGCTAGCTCATCCGTCTTGTGGCCAAAAGCACAGCAAAATGGGGAAGGGGGGGAAGGAAAGATAAGACGATGTTCATATAGACAAAACGTTCTATAAGGCAATGTGGCATTACGAGAGTTATTTTCTTTTTGACGTGTTGTATTTGGTGAGCCCAGAGCACGCCTTGTAACGTCGTTTCGCCGTATGTCTCTCAACAACCATCATTGTACAACCTGCGATATAGCTATGGAATATAATGTAATGTTACCTGAGGAATATGTTTGTAAGAAGCAAAATTTCCTGGACAATTGAATGTCTACCCTCTTGAAGTAGTCGCGGGACCATGACCGACTTGAAAGGGGGTGACGTTCCTGGGTGGGACAAGGATGCAGGGTCTTTCAGTTTAACAGTCCATGTTTCTTTGTAATGATGACCAGTAATTTCATTCAGAAAAGACTGAGTGTCATTGATTGCATGTCGTTGAAGGCATGATTAGGTGTTGGTGAAGCATGAAAAAAA